TTGAAAGGTTTTAACTCCTGGGACAGCTCTGCCCTGCTGTGGCTTCTGCCAGATCAAATAATGGAGAAGAAGGTTGGCACTGCGGTCACAGCTCACCAGTGTCTTTGCAGTTTCATGCTGTGATGGATCAAACGTGAAGTTCTCTCTTTAGTGTTCACATCACTGAGCCAGTTAAGAAACGTAAGCCTATTTTCGTGCAGGGAGAGTTGCACGTTTTGATAAGAAGATGTGATCATCTTAGAGCAGAAATCCCTAACCTAGTGTTCTTTGAGGGCCGGTAGGGCCTTGCCCTCTAGCCTGAGCTCCCAGGTGGATGGAGGGGGGCAGGCCTCTCTCCAGGCAGCCGGTGGGGTGAGCACCTGCCACCAGCTTTCCTCCCTGCACACAGCGTCTGACTTACAAACATCTGGACTTACAAGGAAAACGTTGCCTAGGAATGTCCTACCCTCAGCCAACAACCCCCAGAAATCCCACCATGCACTTCTGCGGTGGTTGGGATTAGGAGACCCCGAAATATCGCAGGTGCACTGGACATGCGGGGCAGTTGTCAGAAGCCCCGGGTTCCCCTTTCCTTGTCCCTGTGTGATTGTGGGCTGATTTCTCAGCATGATCGAGCCCCCTTTTCCTAATCGGACAATTGGGAGTAACAGTACCTGCCCTACTGCTCCCAGGTGCACAGGGCTTCACAGTAGGGATGAGAGGCAGGCGGTCATGCCTCGGCCAGCCCGTCCTTACATCTGGCTGGGTATTTCAGTGCTGCTGCTATTCCCTGGCTCTGCGCTACTCTTTCCTCCGCATCCCTCTGCCTTCAGGCGAGTCCAGCTGTCACCCCACGCACAGGTACAATGACACACCTGCTGCTCCTGCTCCTCGCGGTGGTACTCGGCAATGAGGTTAAAGGGCACGGTGTACAGAGTACTGGACATCACGCCAAACAAGGCGCACAGCACCAGGGTGGAGTGCACATTTGGGAAGAGCCCGATAAATCCTGTTCCCAGGCCAAACAGCAAGTACCCCATGAAGTAAAGACCCTTTAATCCGACGTAGGACACCAAAGCTTTCTGAAAGTCTGTGGAGAAAAGAGAGGGAGAAGTTACAGCTGGCAGTGCCTCACACAACTCATCATTTCAGGCAATCCTCTCTTTTGAAGATTCACTTTTTTAAGGCGCCTTTTTTTATATATACTGAGTCAGGAACAAAAGAACCTTATCTGTGTTTGAAAACAGCTGGCTTTTGAAATCAGCTTTGCATCCCTTGCATAAAAAAGAGCTGGAAATTGCCTTGCTAGGTTGATTTTCATTCCCACAGGGAAGGACCAGGCACTGTTGAGCAGGCAGCTGAATAGAACCTGGGCACAGGAGAGGTAGCGGCAAAGCCGCCTTGACTCTGGGACCCTGGGGCTGCAGGATGGGGAAGAAAAGCAGGGGTCATTCTGATTCGCAGGGGTCTAGCCTAACAGGACCAAAATAACAACCCAGCCCTCTCTGGGCCAAGGCCCAGTGTCAGGTTGGAGGAAATTAAAACCACCGGATTTCACAGAATAGTCCAAGTCAGTTTCCTGGTCCCCACCTGAATGCTGTCGCACACACCTGAGGAGGAAAAGATGGACATTAACTGCAAACACTTAGTCCCTGACTTGCCAACCCATCCCAAGCTGGGGAGGGGCTCCCAGTGCCCCCACGCCCCTTCTCAACCCCCATCACTGGCTCCCTCATTCTCTGTAGACAACTTCCGTAACTTCTCAAAATCTCAGCTTCTTCATCTGAAAAGTGGGACAAATAAAACCCTTTTGGGGGGTTGTTGTCAGCATCAAATGTGATAAAATGTCTGTGAAATCACCCAGCCCAATGCGGAGCACCTAGCAGACAGTCAGTGGTGGCTGTGGTCATTTCAAAACTACAGGCTGGGTTGGAGGTGGCTGACTCAACTTGGGCCCACTCCCAGTAGGTAAACTTGGCTTGATCAGAAAGGTATTGTGTGGTAGAGCTCATTTCTAAAAATTGAAAATTCTGTTTTACAATGTTTTCCCCCACGGTGAGGAAAATCTCTAAAAAACTTTGATCTTCTTTTTTTAGTTGTTTTTAATCCATATGTTCCTTATCTTTCCCCTGCCCCATTCTAATGGAACACATGAACCCAAGGGATAAATGATACTTAAAATGTGCCTATTCAAGGCTGAGATTTTCCATATCTACCCAAATAATTAGTGGACTTACATTGCACAGACAAGAAACCTAATCTGTATTACATTTGAATCGATTATGAAACTAAACACTGTTACAGGTCATCTGATAGAAGGCAGAGGTCTGAAAGTAATGACAAGTGAGAGGCATTGCTTCCTCTTTAAATTCCCACCATGCCTGGAGGGCTGGTGTCAAGGTTAAGAATGAAAGCAGTAGAAAGCCAGGTCTGTTTCCGTTTGCTTAATGATTACATTTATGCAGAAAATGTAACCTAAGTTGTCTCAGTACCTAAAGATACCGCCAATATTCATTAGGGAAGTGCTCTTGTCCAAGTGTAGAGCCCAGCCAAGGAGAAGGCAAAGAAGGCTAAAGAGATATTGGCAAATGTAAGTAACTTCAGCACAAAGACTGAAAGTCTGGCAAAGAACGCTTTATTCACGAAGCGAAATCAATAAACGTGAGGGACACGCCGGCTTGCCCTCTGCTGGGTCTGATGCCCCCTAGTGGTTGTGTCCTCGCACTGTGCCGATAGCTGGGGATGGAGGGAAAGGAGGGATTCAAGTCTCAGCTATGAATAGTAGTGTGTGGTATGAACAATCGGCTGTGTTTCAGCACTCAGTGTTGCTATTCTCATTGATCTAAGAATGCCTGCTGTGCAAAGGACCTTGAAAGCAAATCCCTGATCACCATACCCTACCCCTCATCCCAGTAGCCAGACTGCCCTGCCAAGCTCCATCTGGATAGAAATTCTGGATTGGCACCTGATGTTATGTGCTCAGTCCAAAACAAAGGGTTGTTCGTGTGCTCTGGAATTAAAGGAAATGATTGATTCTGCCCAGGATGGGTGGGAGTATGGGGGAAAGATGTAAAAAATTTCACAGAAGAGATCATTTTTGAGCTGGGTCTAAAAGCATCATTAGTTGTCTAGGTGGGGAGGTAGGAAGAGCAGTTCAGTTAGAAGAAACCAAAAGCAGCAGCAAAGACACAGAGATGGGAAAGGCTTCGGAGTGAGTCCTCATGGGTAGGTAATCTATGTGGGAGTGGCAGAGGTCAAAGTGTGACCCATGCCAAACGCCTGGAACACCAGGGTCAGGGCTCTGACTTTCTGCTATGGGCACGGGAACCCCCTGAGATCCTTGAGTGGGTCTAGCTGGGATTTCATGAATAAAATTTTAGTTCTAATTCACAATGATAGGGATCCCATAGATTTGTACATGAATATAACTTCGGAAAACTATTCAAATAATAGTTTATTTTGTACACAGGGCTTTTAAATAGAAAGGGCCTGAAAATAACATGCTTTTACATTTTCAAATGACATGAAATTCATATAGGAACTCAAACTAGACTAATAAAATGGTATATAGTAGACATTCTTTGAGGGGAAGAAAAAGTTAAAATTGACACAACATTGAAATGCTAATTACTTGAGGAAAACTGTGTTCCTCTTAAACAAGAATGAGAGTTGTAGTAAATAGTGCCCCCATCCCTTGAAAGCACAGAGGGATCGATATTTATAATTTATTAGACACTTTTAGGCTAACGCTCCCTGATTCTATTTTACATACTTGAAATCTTCCTGGAATTTTCTTGAAATGAAATTTTTTTCATTTCACACACTCTGAGGGGAAAAAAAGAATGTGCTAAGGAAAATAGTAAGCCACCATTATTTGGTTATAACACATTTTAAAAGGATGAGTTATGGCTTTATGATTATTGGGCTCATGAATTCTTTATATGTTTCTGGTAGGTCCCCCTTTCCCAGTTGTGCTGTATTTGGAGGACAGTTTTTCTTATCTCAAAGCAGGCTTCCTGCTGTGCTACTCTAGGTAAAGCGCTAACCACCAGACATGGCGTCATTCTATATGTTCACCCTCCTCCCCCACAGGAAGCACGCTTCAAGGACAGGATATTGCCCCTGAAAATGGTAACAGGGATTGTCCTCCGTCCCTCCCCTCCCCTACCTGGGCCATACCTCTGCTGTCCCCAGGGCCTGTTCAAAAAGTCTAGAGCTCTGCCTGGGGTGCCAGCTATTCTCCCTACAATGCTGGAGGACCTCCCAAATTTCCACTCCAAATGGCGGACCTGCATACATTTCATTTACCAGAGATTTGACTCAATTCAATTGTATACAGATTTTGGAGATTTCCACACACCTTAGCAAGCACAAAAGGAGCCTGTGAGATGCTCTAGAGTTGGAGTACATCTGGTTGGACTTATTTAAAACGAATTGCAGAAATTCCTTTGTTTCTAGTGTCCTCACAGCTGAAAGTTGGCTAAGAGGGGGTTCACAGGCTCCAGATCCCATGGAAAGCTGGGACCTGAGAAGGAAAGCCATTGTCTTCAATATGGAACAGTGCTCCTGTAACCTAATACCTTGCCCGGCTGAGCTAAGGACATTTTACATGTTAATTTTGTCACCTAGCATATTACCCATCCCTCCTGTTTTGTGTCACCTACAAACCTGATAAGCATATCTATGACACTCTACCAGTGACCTGCGTCCTACCAGTGACCTGCGTCCAGTGGAACACAGACCTAGTGTTAGTCCTCTCTGCTGGGACTCTGTTCCTCATCCATCCAACATGTCATCACCTTGTTTACAAGATCTCCTTTTATTTTCCAGAGAACCTTGATCAGGAACCCACTGATTGCAAGGACAAAGTAATCACTGAAGAATCAGGTACTGGTCCTGTGACACCTAGAATTCGCTATGAAACAGATTTTATTTTCCTTTCCATGTGGTCCTTTCTAAAAGAGTATTTTTCTCTGACCTCCATATATTTATAAAGAACCTAGTATTTTAAAGACAAAAAATAAATATAGAAATATAAAATCCAAGACTCTGCTAGACCGGAGCCCTTAGAAGACAACCTTAGGAAGGGGACTTACAAGAATAAAGTGAGGAAAACATGGAGTTGATGCACAAGCCCCAACATCCAATCTCGACCCCTTTTTCGTAGATGAGAAACTCTGTGGAGTTGTGTGCACTGTAGGGATTCCCATGGTACACGATCTGCAAGAGATTTCAGGTTGTTGAGTGACAAATGCAGGGTGGTAGGGACCCCTTCTCATACGCACTGTTTCTCCATCCCTGGGGAGCAACATGTCCCTGCCCGAGGGCCCTTTCCTAGGGCCCAGAGCTCATTCTCTCAGGACCACATCGCCTGTCTCACCCCTTTATACCTCTACTCAAGGACTCTCAGGATGTCCTAATACCTACGGCATCGAGTCTGCACAATATCTCCCTGGATCATTAACACCCCTCCTTCCCCCAACAGCTGGCCCCACCCAACTTAGCCACCCTGCCATCCATCTCCTGGTACAGCCAACAGGCTTCTGACCTCTCCACACAGGCCATTCCTAGTCCTGCCTGGAATGTTTTCTCCCTCTCCTCTCTCTCTCCAACTCTTCCTCACCCTTCAAGGCCCCGATCACGTTGCACCTCCTGTATTAAGCCTGCCGTGATCGCTATAGCTCACATTCATTTTTCCCTATTTGTTGTACTCGATCAAGCACTGGTCCCATCATGTCCCCTGGTCATCCAGGTTGTAGGAACTGGCCTCTAGAAACTGTATGTAAGTCAGCTCCTTAAAGGTCCTCTTTCTTACACACTTACTGTGCCCGTCCTCCAGGTGGGCCCAGAGGCTCCACAGGTGCTGACTGAAAACTGATGCACTAGTCAATGAGTGTGCACAGACGCGTCAGTTACCTGGCCCATGAAGTCTGTGAAGAAGAGCATGTTGGACAGGAAGGCGGTCCATCCAATGAGGTGGCTGAGGCAAAGGCAGCGGTAGTGGGAAGGCATACTCACCAGCGCTCTCAGCAGGGACCTCATGGTCATTGTCCTCCCGGTCTGGAATAGACATGAAACAGGTGTGAGCTTCATGCAGACACAGCCAGCTGTGGGAGCCAGAACACATGTCCACATTACATATCTGTCAGTCAACCATCACACAGGGTCACACTTTCTGGGCATGGCACTCAAGTTTCCATGGAGTGGCCTCTGGGAGGTGTGGATACTTAGCAGCTTTGGGCCCAGAATGGGGCATTGGGGACCTGAGCAGGAAGGGTCTGGAAATGGAAACGTAAGAGACACCTAGCACCCTACCTTTCAATGACAGAACCGCTGCATGCAGACAAAGGTCAAAGACCTAACCTAACCTTAGATGATTACAATGCTTAGATTTCTTGACTTTGAAAGTGTGGTAGGCTGAATTCTGACATGGCCCCATGATCTCCGTCTCCTGGTATTGCCCCATGATTATGTTATGTTACACGGCAAAGGGATTTTGTAGACATAATTAAGGTTACTTAATCAGTGACTTTGACTTAATCAAAAGGGAGATTATCTGGGTGACCTTAACCAAATTACATGAGCTCTGTAAAAAGCAGAGAGTTTTCTCCAACTGGGAACAGGAGGGGAAGTCAGAGAGTTTCAAAGCACAAAACTTGCTAGCTTTGAAGGTAAAAGAGGGCTATGTGAAAAGATCTCGAGGAGATCTGAGTGACTCCTAGCCAACAGCCAGCGACCTCAATTCTACCAGAACCACAAGGACCTGGATTCTACCTGAATGAGCTCAGAGGCCAATTCTTCCCCAACTGAGCCTCCAGGATGAGCCTCCAGTTCTACTAACACCTTGATTTCAGCCTTGTGAGTCCCTGAGCAGAGAATCCAGTTGGGCCCACCCAGATTTCTGACCTACAGAACTATGAAATAATAAATGGGTGGTAATTTGCTATGTAGCAATAAAAAACTAATACAGAGAGCCAATCAGCTCCCTGCTCTTGGCCAGGTACCTCCTCCCAGTTTATTTCCCTAGATTTCTGCTTTCAGCCAACACATGTAAATGAGCCCTATGTGGAGTCAGAAGTGAGAACATTGTAGAATACATACACACACACACACACACACACACACACACACACACACACAGTAAATACAAATCCCCCCAATTCTTTAATTCAGGCTTAAATTATGTTAAAACCAGAGGTTACAATTTTTAGGTATCAGAAGTCTTGCGAGAATGAACATTTTTGAACTCTGACACAGCTGTTTTGAAATACAAAGAATGAAGCAGCCTTTAACATCCTGTCACATAAGAAACCAACATCAAGAATACTAAGTAGTCACCTGTCTGAGGACACTGAGACTATAGACATCAGCCATAGTGGGATGATAGGTCTCTCTTGTCAGATTTTTATTTATTCTGAACCTTGACATAATTAAATCGAATCTTAGCTAGTTTACTTATAAGACAGTCTCCAGAGAGTTTTTCTTTTAACTATAACAGCATAATGTTTGTATAACTCTTAACCTAAGACGATAATGCAACCTTGCTGCAGAAAATTGTGTTTACTTATGGTAGGTTTGCTGTGTAAATTAATTTTTTAATTCATCAATTTTATAGTATTTAAACTAGTGACCATGACTGAACTAATTTTGTTATATTTAATCAGTATTTAAAAGTATAGATGTTCCTTTGGAATTAGGAAAAATAAGTGTTTTCTTAATGTAACACATGGTACCTATCAAAATAAATAGTGACCATAATAGAAAGTCATTGCAGAATTGCTTATTTTTCCTTGTCCACAGGAAGAAGCAGCTAAAATAACAGCCTGATTGTCATACCTCACACTGAATGATTTATCTTCACTTTCCTTCCCTTCTTTCCAAAATGCAAAAATTTTAAAAGTGAATTTGGCAGGCAAGTATTCAGCTTCATTCCAAATATGAATTTCTGCTTCTGCCTTATGTATAATTTTCAGCCTGCTTTCACTGTTAACCTAATTTTCCCTTTCTTCCAAAAGTAAATACGAGCTTTAAAATTGTGCCTAGTATTTCTGCAAAAGATGGGAATGTAAATATTCAAACCTCCTTGGGTATTTTAACTCAGAATAACAATTCAGCTGGCATCTCATTATTCTCTGACTTATCAGTTCCCTTGGTAATGCCCTTCGATAATTCTGAGCCCATGAGAGATGTTTTGTTGCATGTATTGTATGCCTTTGTCCACCGGAGATTGGGTGGTGGGTTTATAAGTGAAAAAAGCACACAGGCCCGGGGTGGGAGGGACTCACAGGAGTCCATTCCAAAGGAGATTGCGGAGATGTTGAAAGGAGCAATGATGGCATCGAGGAACTGCAGGTGGGTTTCATGGGATCTGGTTTGAACTCTGAAATAATTCAGGCCTCTTTTCATTAAAGAAAAAAAATCCCAGCTCTCAAGCTGCACAGCCACCCTGATTCTAGGAAGTGATGCCTTTGACGAACCATGGGAGCCGGGGCCCTGGCCCTGACATGGTGCAGGCGCCCACTGCTCAACTGGAGGCCCCAGAAGCACATTTGGAATAGAAGTCGGATGCTTGGCATTGAACCTATGTTACTCTGTGTTTGTAATTTTGTTTTTTTAAACCACATAACAAAACCACTCAGAGCTTACAGCGTTGTGTATGTGGCACCTACTAGAAAGTTAATTGTATTTCATGCATTTATTTCCTTACTAGCGTGGAGGGTTTATGCCTCTCAAAAGGCTCCTGCTAACTTGTTTTACTTGATCCTCCCAACAGCCCCTGGTGAGTTATAACCAATCAATGGGGCAAAGAGGCAGTAAGCATCTATCAGGGTGATATCTCCTGATCTTTAGGAAAGCCCTGACTTGTTTTGCTCCTTAAACTGTGAAATTACTTGCAAAGTAAAATTTGTCCATTATAGAAATGTTGAATCTACTGAAGGGTTTAGAAAAGAAAATTAAAACCACCTGTTAGCCTATCATCCAGAGAAAATAACTTCAATTAACATTTCAGGTTTATATCCTTCCTATTTTTCCTCTGTATGTGTGTAGATTTTCCCAAAATGGAGATCATCTTGTGTGTGTGTGTGTGTGTGTGTGTGTGTTTTGCCTCATATGTCTTAGATAAATCTTCAAAAACACACCTTTTAATGACCGCATGGGTTCACTGCCTGGCTAGCCCATGAGCTCCATGCTGTCCTGCAGAGCTGTACAATAAGGGGAACCCAGTCTAACAAGCAATCTGGGAGTTCTGGTCTCTGAGCAAAGGATGCAGGGAGTGGGGGTGCTTCCCGAAGCAGCCTGGGCTACGGGAAGGTGGTCAAGCCCGGTCTCTGGAGACCTAGACTCTATATTTTCTCTATTTGCTGTGTGATCAAGATAAAGGCTTTATCCCAATAACCTTTCATGTCCTCTTCCTATCATGGAAAACACTACACACATGCTAGAATAGGAGCTACTGGCAGAATCGGATGAACAGATTATTCCCTTCCATTGTATTCCCTTCAAATACACCCTGTATTCCAGGGTGGCATGGAGGAAGGCAGGCTGGTACCCTGCAGAAACATAACTCTAACACAGGTATGATCGGATAGTGAGTCCTCCCGTTGTCACACCCTACTTAGTAAGCAGTTCGCCAGCTCAAACCCAAGTAATGTTAAAGTTTATGTTTGCATTGATTTGAAGAAAATACTAAGCAAACTAATAGAACAAAGCACTTAACCTTGAGAAACAATTTTACAGACTTTGATAATTAGCTGCTAAGACTGATGGCTTTTATTCATATACATGAATAAAATAAAATACAAATAAAAATGAAGTTTTCTATTGACTACAAGTAGCAAATATATCTCCTTGAAATACCATTGAAAGAAAACACAGTTTTCAACCATTATAAATCACTTAGCAAAATGCAATGTGATATCCTAGATTGGACCCTGAAACAGAAAAAGGACATTAGTGGAAAACCAATGAAACAGCAATGTCCACTGTTTATTTAATAGCATTGTACCAATGCTAACTTCTTAGTTTTGACAAATGTGTCAAGGTTATGTCTGATGTTAACATTAAGGAGAAGCTAGTTAAGAGTAAACAGGAACTCTCTAAGCAACTTTTTTGTAAATTTAAAAATATTCAAAATTATACACTTATTAAGAAAGTAAGACAATATATAGTTGCACTTTGCTAGATGACAACTCTGGCACAGGGACAGGGTCTGTCTTGCTCACTAGTGTCCTGATCCTCAGCTGTAGGTTCTCAGTTAATAGTTGTTGAATGAATGAATGAATGAACGAATGAGCTGTGTACACAATGTGACCAACTCTGGTGATTCTTATTATTCACCCAAACAAATTCCAGCAAGATCCATATTTCAGATGAGCATTTCTGCTGCATTCATTCAACAAACTACTAACGGAACATCTGTTGCCAGCTTCCTGCATGCCAGGCACTGAGGTAAACATCAAGAACAGGAAAACGGGCGAGAGGCCACCTGGGAGCTCTGCCCTCAGGGAGTTCCCTTACCACCTGGTGGGGAAGACACAGACAAGTTAGCAAACAAGACAGAAGGTGAAATGACTCCAACTGAAGACTCAAGCCCATAAACGAGTAGGCAAACTGCAGCTCGCGAGCCACATGTGGCTCTTTGGGTACGTTCCGTCTCAAAAGTTTGCCGACCCCTGCAAGAGCCAATCCTGTCTCTCATAACTATTTAAAAATTATTCGAGAGCCATACATATATTTTTACGTAATCATCATTATGTGAATAATATCCTTTAAAAATTTTATAAATAAAACTATGATAGTTTTATTTTCATTTTCAATTTTACTTCAGAGCCTGTGGCTTGCGAGCTGCAGTTTGCTGACCCCTGGAGGCTGTTCCGTCTCAAAAGTTTGCCGACCGCTGCCATAACACATGGAAACAAAGGAGCCCTGGGCTGGGATACTGGGGATGGCAATGCAGAGTCTTTAGAAAAAAGCAGGGATTCTTGAAGAGAGCAAGACAGGGGAGAGTGTGACGTTAATAAAACTGCATTCATGTGAAAATATGTGGCAATTCAATTTTTCATTCCTTTTAATTATTAAAAAATATGCCCCCCAAATTCTGCCTGTTCCAATGCACCAAACTTGCCTAGATTTTAATTCTGAATTTGTGATGCTTTAAAACAGGAAACAGACTTCTATAACACCATTTGTAAATCACTGGGCTAGGTGTTTTCACCTGCAATCCTTCATTTAACCCTTAGAAGTCCTCTGTAAGGGAGACAGCATTGTCTTCACAGTTGAAAACACTGAGCTCAGCTAGGTTAATTTTCTGAAGGTTACGCAGCTACTAGGATGAGGAGCTAGTGAACTGTCAGGGACTAACAAATGGCCACCAATCCGTGTCTTCCTTTCTTAGGAATAATGGATGTTTCAGGTGGGTGGATGGCTTCTAACTCAAGGCTATATTCCCCATTCTACTTGCATCTCAGTGTGGCCATGTGACTAAGTTTTGGTCAACAGTAGGTAAGCAGAAGTGATGTTTGCAACTTTTGAGTTGCATCCTTAAAGGGAAGGATCATGTCCTTCCCTTTCGTCCTTCCTTCCTGCTGGCAGAAATATAGATGTAACAATGATAATGGAGAAGTTATCTTGGATCTCAAGATGAAGCTCTCTGTTCAAAATGCAAGTAACAAAACAGACAGGTCCAGGTACCTTTTGAAATCAGTAGGTTAGCCCCAATCCAGCTATCTCTGGACCTTTATAAGAAAGTTACATCTTGTAGAACTTACTAGGGTCTCCTATACGCTAACTCATTCAGGAGCCCAGATTGAAATCCTGACGTGACTGTCCCAAAGCTTTGCCCCATTCACTAGCAAACACTTCTGGTAGCCCCTGGCAACTTTTCTTTCTACTATACTCACTGCCTCCCCCAAATTTTTGTCAGAGTTTTCCTTCAAACCCCTTTGCAACTTGTTTTCCAAAATATAAATCTCTTATTCTCAGATCTTAAAATTTGCCAATAACCTCCTTCTTTTCATCTGTCCCTCTCTCCCTCTCTCTCCCTCCCTCCCTCCCCTAGGCAATTTCAATCACTTCCCATGCCTTATGTGTCATGTTGGAATCTTCCATAGCAACTGTTGCCCTCTCCCTTGAACTCAAAACCTACATGTTCTCCTACCTGCCAGGCACGTCCACTGGCATCTGAAATACACTCATCAGTTTTTCCATCTCTGTCTCCCTGCATATAACCAGTTGCCCTGTCCTTGGCTTTATTCCCTCATGCCTCTCCCACTTTCCCTCTCTTTCATTCTTATTGCCACTTCCCTGATCCAAGCCCATCATTACGTCTTATCTGGGGCCATGAAGGTAATCTGCTAGTTTCCTCTTTACCCCCTATAATCAGCAGCCAGACAAATATCCTTATGGTCTAACATTCTGTGCCTGAGTTCATCTTCCCTGGTCTGATGTTCTGAAAAGAGTAAGAGACAGGAGGACAAGAGGAAAATGTACACATCTTCTTTGAGGTACAAAGCTTTAATTCTAAGGGATAATAGATACTGGGGATTTGAGGATTCAACTGCTTCACAAAACTCTTTATATCAAATAAGCAAACAAAACAAAGACAAAGAGTAATTTAAAAAAAGAAGAAAAAGAAGAAATGGCAAGCACAAAAATATTTTTTCCAAGTAAAGAAAAAAGAATTTTGGAATACTATTCTGCCATAAGAAAAGATAAAATAGTGCCATTTGCAACAACATGGATGGATCTTGAGATTATAACGCTAAGTGAAATAAGTCAGAAAAAGTCAAGAACCATATGATTTCACTGATATGTGGGATATAAAATTGAAAGCAACAAAGGAACAAGACAAACAAACAAAGAAACAAAAACTCATAGACACAGACAATAGTTCTGTGGTTACCAGAGGGTAAGGGGAGAGGGGGGTGGTAGATGAGGATAAAGGAGATCAAATATATGGCGATGGAAGGAGAACCGACTCTGGGTGGTGAACACACAATGTGATATATAGATGATGGATTACAGAATTGTACACCTGAAACCTATGTAACTTTGCTAACAATTGTCACCCCAATAAACTTTAATTAAAAAAAAAAAAAAGAAAAAGGAAAAAGAATTTGCATCTTTACCTGTTCAGCCGCATTTTTGTTTTTTACTCCCTGCATCTCCAGCTCTGGGTTTACATAACCGTTTTTCACTTTCTCAATAGACCCATACTCGTGCAGTCTATCTGATGATAATGAAGGGTCCTGGGGCGCTTGCTGTGGGGGAATGTCCTTTGCAACATCTCTAAGTGGGGCTTCAGGGATGCTGCACAGATGGATAGTAAAACACAAAGTGAGGACCAAGGCGGAGAAGAAGAACATGACTTGGAATTCTGTGCCCAGCACTCTTCCCAGTTTCAAATGTGCCCAGTCGATGGCACCCAAAAGGTAACCCAGGGCACCTCCAAAACCTGGAAAGCAAGAAAGAGCTGTATTAACATATTTATGTACAACCATCTTCCCTTTCCATTGAGCCCAGGCCCCTCCCTACAGTGGGAAAGCTCCCTGGGGACAGCAGGGGTGCCTGGTTATGACTGGATTAAAAGGCAACACAGCAACAGGCTAAGACACTTGCAGCCAAGAAGCGTGGTTTCAAGGCTCAGCTCTAGCATGTACTTGCTGTGACCTTGGAATTCCTCACTCATACTATGGGATGACAATAAAAAATTAACCTACTAGTAGAGTCATAACTGGAAAATGCAATGGTGCCAGACATTGTAACTGCTTAGTAAAACTGCCACTATCAGAATTCTTGTGGCCTTTCCAAACTATACTCTCTACACTGCTTAAAAACAAACATACCTGACCTTAAAGAGTCCCCCAAAAACCAATTTATGACTCTAATAAAATATAATTATTTGTATTGTCACTTATCTATTAATAAGCTTTCTAGGGTGATGCAAGTTTTCAGAGATCAAACAGCCTTGGACTATGTCTTGTTTCCTCTATTAGAAGCTAAAGGTATTGTTCCAAGCTGATAACCACAGAACAAATAAGAACACAAATCTAAACATGAATTTTTTAAAACCCTATTATCATCTCACAAAACTCTGACCTGCCGTTTTCCTGGGGCTTGTTTTATCTACTTATGATTAAAGATAGTGTGACTTGAGGGAAGGGCTCCTCAAAACTGATCCTGCCCCAATGGTCTAATAGTTGAAATCCTGTTATTGGTGATTCATTCTTTTGGGTTCCTGTTTTAAGATGCAAGTGTTCCTGGTATGGATGAGACTTTATCCAGCTCAGGTCCAAAGCAGTAAGTGCTCCTCAGATGCCCCTCTGGGTGGCTGGCAGGCTAGCATCGGGGGAGTCTGAGGACCCAGAGGTGAAGGAGGCATGTACCACGGGTGGGAGCAGGTCCAGGAAGTAAAGAGGTGGAGGCAAAACACACTTTCTACCTCCATCACAAGCTTACTTAGGGCTGATCCTCCTGTCAGAAACCTTTAAATGACAAACCCCCATCATGTCATACCGAACACAAATGTCTACCTGGACAGATCAGCTTATTTTTGTTTTCGCTTTTCTTGTGTGAGTGAAGTCTCCATTTTATTTCCCAGATAACGACAACATTCTCACAAACCAGAGAATCAAGGAAGGAAACAGAACTTAAGGAATTCTTTATCCCTAACCCTAAATACCTAAACTTACATAAATCGTGACCCCAGAAACACAAATCTAAATGACAAGTACCATGAATTCTAATTTATCCAGAATAGTGGGAGAATGGACGATTCTGGTCACTTCACATTCTGGTTAGTTGCAATTTACCAAAGAGGATATTTACAGATGACCAACTTTTAACCATTGAATTCCAAAAATAAAGCATCATTACCATGCCCTGAGTGCCAAAGTGTATTGAGGTGGAATTATGGGAAATTGTGGCCAGTGGTGTGCAATGAAGTAAAACATACGTGCTCTCCCAACAGGAATACATGGTCTAGTTATGGGTGATGGGCATATACATAAACAGATAAATGGCACACATGGTGACCTGTCCTGGATGGTATGTGCCCAGGAGCTGACAGGAAGGGGAGGTCCTTGAGGCAGCCACACTCCATTGCTGATTCAGAGGGCAGTTCTGGGACTGGTGGTGCCTCTGGATCACCGGTAGACGATGACTCTCTTTATGCAATGGTGGGGATACCAAGGGTTTCAGGGGTCATGTGCTGAGCCAAGCAGTCAACCAATAAGAATGCATTAAATGCCCGGTACTGTTCAAGGGTCTATCTAACTCAGGGTTTCTCAGTCTCGGCACTACTGACATTTTGGGCCGGATAACATGCGTAACACACGGTGTGATACGGAGCATTGTCATGATGGAGGATGATTTACGGCACACTTTCTCTCAACTGTAGCTCACACCCGACTGACTGCACCGAACAGGTTGAAACTTGTCACACACTGTTACTAAGGTTTGATGCACCGTTTTCCTTATTGAAGATCCCTGCCTTTCCATTGGATGGCATTCAGCAACAGCATTAACTGTAATTTGTGATCATAATGGAAAGGCTCTGTGTCACACATCGCTTCTGGTATACGGCAATTTTTGTCAAATAAAAACATTACAGTGTGTCCTCATCCATCTTATTCACCGATCTGGCACTGTGCGACTTCTGGCTCTTCCCCAAAGTCAAAACGACTCAGGACACTGAGGCAACCATGACAGCACAACTAAAGACACTCAAGAAAGAGGACTTCCAGAGCTGCTTCAGGAAGTGGCAAGAACGATGGGATAAGTATGCTTGAAGCGATAGGGAGTATTTTCAGGGGGATTAATGGCAATGTGTCTTTTACTGTAATAAATTTTTTTAAAATTTAAACATTCACCATAGTTTTTTATCACACCTTGTACAGTGGCAGAACTGGGGCTAAAACCGAGTGCCCCGCTGACTTCCAACAGAAACCCAAACTCCAAAACCTCAACCAGAAGCAGGAAAGAATGACAGATGCTCCTTGACTTACAATGGGGTTATGTCCTAATAAACTATGTAAATTGAAAATATCATAAGTTGAAAATGCATTTAATACACCTAACCTAATCATAGCTTAGCCTAGATTACCTTCTACATGCTCAGAACACATACATTAGCCTACAGTTGGGCAAAATCATCTAACACATGAAAACACTGCAGAGTACCGGTTGTTTACTCATGTGATCGGGTGGCTGACTGGGACTCACTGCTGCTGCCCAGAATCACAAGATAATGTCTAATGCCTATCAGTATCCCAGGAAAAGATCAAAATCAAAATCTGAAGTACAGTTTCTACTGAGTGGTATTGTTTTCACACCATCGTAAAGTCAAAAACTCGTAAGTCAGACCATTTTAAGTCGGGGACTGTCATACTGCACTGACGGTGACAATTGACCTAGAGGTGGCTGAAAGGACTTAATCATTCTAGGCCCAGTGATGAGAATCGGCGGATCATTCTGAGGGCTGAGACTTGGCTTACTGCTGACCTAGTGCAGCGTGTGACATGTATTGTGGAAGAAATATGTATCCCAAACCTGAAAGTGAAAGTTGTTAAGTGCCTGATTTTTAAGATACCATCCTAGGGCAGTGCTTCTTAAACTTTAATGTGCACATGAACCATATGGATGTCTTGTGAACATGCAGGTTGTCTTGGTCCAGTCAGGCTACTATAACAAAAATTCCCCTAACTTGGTAGCTTATAAATAACAAACATTTATTTCTGACAGCTCTAGAGGCTGGGAAGTCCAAGGTCATGGCACTGGCAGATTCGGCGTCTGGTGGGAACTGGCTTCCTCACAGGCAGCAGTCTTTTCACTATAACCTCACTTGGCAGGAGGGGCAAGGGAGTACTCTTGGGCCTCTTTTATAAGGGTGCTAATTCCAGTCATGGCTCCTTGCTATCTAATCACCTCCTCAAGGCCCCACCTCCTAATACCATCACACTGGGCATTAGGTTTTCAACACATGGATTGTTTTGGGGGGGTGGGGACACAAACATTCAATCTGTCACACAGGTTCTGATACTGAAATTCTGCATTTCTTTCAAGTCTCCCAGTGACACCAATGCTGCTAGTGCCAACACTACTCCTGAATAGCCAGGTGACAGAGCAGTTTCCAAACGACCAGCTCTACCCACATCTGGCATTCTTGGGGAACAGGACTTTGTTGTCACAAGATATTTGACCAATAAGCTACAACTGATGAAGCACGATGTGCAGTCCTCTAAATTTAAGGTTACTTTGCAGACATTAATAGGGTTCTATGATTTGTGTTATGTTTTATAGCCTCATAGAAAAATTACCCCAAAACGATTACAGAGGACTTACTGCTTTCTTGCCTTGTAGGTTAATTGGATCTAATCTAATCTAGCACTTTTTTCTTTTGTTAAACACACACACACACACACACACACACACACACACACATATGCACGCACGCACGCGCGCCCTCCAAGCACTTGGGGAAACTGTTCTTCATGTCTTCCTCGTTGTTTCTCTCATTAATTAGTTAAGTAAAACTTTGACACATGCAACAAGTAGGTTAGAGAATTTCTAAACCTTTTTTCTCTTGGTGGGGGGAGGTTGGAGTAGGGAGACAACATAGGCAAAACTGTTTTGTTTGTTCCAAAGCTACCGTGGGATGTAGCTAAAAGTTCAACAGAACATACCCTGAAGGAATTGTGGGCCATTGGAGAAAGTATTCCAATAGATACCATATTAAAGCTCTGGATTAAACTTTATCTATTTATATTAATACCTCCAGATATGATAAGGGCCAGTAGGGGTCTGTAGAGATTAATTGAATGCTTTCCTTTTTGCTTCCTCTGCTTAAAGTAAGGATTTTATCTTCAAAGATAGTCTCCTAAACAAAGCCCAGTCATCTCAGCTACAAAAAAAGGCTAACACCAACTCCAACATCTATATCCAGACTTCACTTATCTCTACTGCCAACCTCAGTCTCCCTGGAATTAGTCACCAGGCCATTGGCCAAACCATAAGCTGGAGCATTCAAAGGACATCTGCTGCCACATTAGATAACAGGCCTTTACAAAGAAGGACCCACAAGTGGTCCAGCTGCCTCCTTTCCAGAGCCAGGCTGTGTTAGCAAACTCAGACCAGAGCTTGCATACTCGGAAGCATTAAGAAAAAAAAAACAAAAGTTAAAAGAGGCTGGGCCTCACAAGTTACCCATTCTTCCAAAGATGTACAGGGGACAAATTCCTATCATTACAAATAAAACTTTTGAAAGCCCTGTGGGGATGGAGGAAATGAAGTAAATATGAACATTTGGTACTGAAGCCTTTTAAATGGCTCTTTGCTCCAGGCCTGGGACCATCTACCAAGAATATTCACAACAAACATTGTGTCAAGATTCACAGCCTGTGAGGAAACAAAGGTTCAGAAATCCTGAGGACACTCAGCAGTTAAGAGGAGCCAGGATTTGAACTTGTGTAGCCTTTCCCATTATACTTCATTCCGGCCTCCT